AGAAGTATTGTTGACGTTCGTTGATATAGCGTTTGTTTAGCGCGATTGTTGAAGTTGAGTGTATCGATAAAGTTGTATTCGGAAATAATAAACCAGTTTTTATTAAGAAAGAACTTGTGTCGCTTAAGTTTCGTCGTAACGAAGTTACGGAAAATCAATTAACAAACGGAGACGTAACAATACCAAGATCTTTCCTATTCATTGAAAACTAATAAATGATACAAAAGGCATCTGTTAGCTTATGAATAGTCATATAATCCAATCAGGAGACAACTTCTTTCCAAGTTTGTTTAAATGTCAGTAAAGGTTACCTATATAATATGTTTATACATGTCATTCATATATGCATGATTTATAATAATAATGATTATTTTTTGGCCATTTTAATTCAGTACTGAAGCTGTATAAAATATATATCAGAAGGATATGTGTCAGTTATGATGCAGTGCTTTTAACTCCTGGTGTCAGGTTGCATGGATTTTGTGTCACTGACATTATCAGTAGTATTGTTTTTTAAGACTCATAACATAGGTAAATTAAAATGAGCATTGTTATTGGATAAAGGCTCTGGTAAGAAGGCTTAAAGCTCACACATAAAAGAAAAGTATTCTAACATAGAGAACAGTCTGTTAATGCAAGCAATAATTATAGTAACTCATGAATTGAAAAACCAATACTTGGGCAGTTAAAGAGTGTGTAGCTCAGTTTGTTTAAGCATCTGCCATTCAATCTTAACTTATTTTAGCCTAAGTCTGAGCATAATTGATGAAGTTTGGTAATATCAAACTCAGTTTAATGACTTTTGCCATATCCTGTAGCTAGCTTTAATGAAATCAAGTTTCATAAACAAGCCTGATTCTTGTTGTTTGAGTCAAAAATTGTGTTCATAATCAACTCATCATACAGGTTTTGATTAAGTTTTGTACATGAGTTTTAAGGGAGTTGCTTTATACAATAATTGTTTCAACAGCACGTAGTGCTTATAGTCACATGCTGATATGTGGATAAGATTGTTCTGCTATCATTTCTCAAGCCCAGTATGTGTTATTTGTATTATATAACTCTAGTTAAAAGACTCAACCAAATATTGTAATGACAAAATACATATATCACACTCTTTTTGTTCTGAAGTCTTGTTTAAAACTGAGAAATCCTAGAATGTGAAAAATGTCCTCATTACTTCTACTCAGATAACATTTATATTTATTATTATTATTTCAATCCTATATACTTTGGAGAATATAGACACAAACTACCAAAGCCAATAGCAACATACATTAGAACAACTTGTACCCTTATCTCCAAACATACAAAGAAGTTAAGAAAACATTTAAATTATACTAAGTCCAAAACAGCTTCAATTTGTACCAAACCTATTTGTGTGTCAAAGTAAGTAACTGTGTAAGTATTGTATTACGTTTAAAAAAATATTTTTTCCAGAATTCTGAAAATAGCTGTGCATGGAAACATTATTTGAGAATGACTATAATCACAATAGAATGGCTAATTTATACTTATCAATAATAAAGGTATATTTGCGATGAAGTGGTAAGTTTATCTATTAAGTCGTCAATAAATTAATGTTGCATTTTGGAACACTTTCATTAACCATCTCCCAAAAAACGTACATGACGTATAATAGTTAAACGAACCACCTAAACATCACGTTAATGTAGCCTATATAATGTGTAAAGTTTAGTATACTCTAATCCCTTATAGTGATGGCACACTATGAGACACACAATTGGCATGTAATGCTGTTTGAATATGAGAAGGGAAACAATGCCTCTGTAGCCACAAAGAACATCAAAGAAGATCCTGGAAATGTTTTGAACATTCATAAGTGAAAATGATGGTTCAGCAAATTTCGTTCATGTGACTTTAGCCTTAAAAACTGTGATGGAAGGGGCT